AGGATCCGATTATAAAAAATTTCTCCCTGACCTGAGCAGAAGAGCAAATCAAAATCTGTCGATCAGATTCTCAGAGGTTCCATGACTAATGGTGATTAAGGATCTTAAAAAAGCCCAACCAAGCAACCCAACCACTGTAAAGGTGTTTACAGGTTATTGCCAGAGGACAAATGTGAAGAGTCTGAACTGTGTTTCTTCACAAAAGGTACAGTCAGTGGGCCAGATTCTGTCCTCGGATTTTGGGGGGAACTTGTGTGCTTAGAAAGGGAGTTTCCCCAGGATCACAGCTTTAATATTTAGACTGTATAGTGGGAGGAGGAGGGAAGGCATAATGTACCCAAGGCAAGAAACAACAACACAGCTGCTTTACAGCCACTAATGTAGCCCTCAGATGCTGTAGTAGCTTTTTAATCTCACATCTCAAATGTTCAGGGAAGTGAAACTTACAGATCTGCTGGCTTATTCCTAAAACTCATCCTTCAGCGGCAGTGCTGGAAACCACCCATCTCCAATACATCAGGAATCTCTGCACGACTGGATTTGGGGTGTTCTCCCCCTTTGGCAGCTTCTCTAAACCTCACCATCTACCACCCAGCCTTATGAAACATGAGAACCACCCTAGTCCTCCTTCTTCCAGCAACCTCACAACCCCTTCCCAGGGAGCACGTGTTCTCCATCCTCATGGCACACTTGCTTTCAAGGAGAAGTACCTGCTTTGTTCTCCATCCAGAAGGCAGTGATATGCAGCAATGTCTTTCTCCAGCTGTTGTTTGCTGGTCAGCAGATTTTCACGATCCCGTTGCTGCTGCTCGGTTTCTACTTTGATTTCTCCCATCTCTGCCTCCAGCTTGGAAATGACAGAACCTAGGTTCTGCAGTTCGATGTCGTGCCAGTGTTTGGCGTCATATAAAGAATTCTCCAGACCCCTCTTCTGTAAGGGCAGGACAGCAGACATTGAAACAGTCAGGTTTCATATGCTTCATCATAGTGATTTTTATTCAGGTTTGGCCAATATCTCTGTTGAATGTGCTTAAGTGAGATGTAATATTTTGAGAACTCCTTTCTTTAGATAATTTGAAAAATGTGTATTACCATGACAAAAGTTGAACTACTTTGGTTACAAGGCGCAGATATTCTTCACATTGTCAAGTACTACCCAACCAGCAATCTTAGTGAGATTATTATTGAGTATGAAGACACTGAAGATTGAAATTTTCTGCTTGTCAAATGTGCTCCACTTAGTGCACCACGTCAATCAAGAAGAGCCCAGAAATGCCTGGCATCTCTGGAAGCAGTATCCGCTGGACAACGGGATTTATTCTTAAGTCTGCAACCCAAGACGGGAATGTTTTCCTCAGAAGGCATGTTGGTTTCGCACAGAACATATCCATTGAAAACCCAACATTACTTACCAAGGTTCTCAAAGATTCGGTTTCTGCTTGCAAGCTCTGTATTTTGCAGGCAGTTTCATGGAACTCAGTTCTGAGACCCTCTACCAGCATTTCCTCCTGGGTTCGCACAGCAGCCATCGTTTCAGCCTGTTGCTGGTAAAAGATTGCGACTGTTGTCACAGCCTACTCAAATTACATTTTTGTTTCCTTACATACCAAACTGACAGTTGGTATTTTCACAGTTTGTGGCAATTCTGACTTTAAGTTTGATTCTTGTATATTAAATCCCTCGGTTGAACAATTCTGGATACTTCTTAGTGTCAAAATTATCATATTTTCTATGCATTTACTGTAAAATGGCTTATACATATAAGTATCTATATTTTATCTATGTCAACAAAAGCTGTTCAGCATTCATACTAGTATGTTTAAAATGACCTATAAAAAGAAAACGTTGCTGTAATTCTTCATTTTGGAGCTATACTATAATATTGTTTTAAAAGTTAAGTGTTTTCACTTGGTCTATTGGATTTCAGAAGTATTTACACCTTGATTTTTCACATAGGATTCTATGAGTGAGAGAGCAAGTCATATCACAGAAGTCAGAAAAATAACTTCTATTAATTGAATTACGATATTCTTATGCAATTTCCTGCTCTTGTTGCTTGTGGTTTTTTATATGTCTTTAGTTCAGGCTCCTTGAAAATAGGTGAAGGAAAAGGTACCTTAGTAAAAATAAAATTTCTATACTTTTTAATGAGGGCTGAGATCAAGGTTTTCAGTCCAGAGCTCTGGGCTCTCTAGCAAATACAATTCTTCAGTCAAAACCTACATTTCTTCTGGCTGACGCTAAAGTTAAACTATGCAAAATACTTCCATTCCACTCTGAAAATTCATCTTGACCCTGTCCTGCTTTTCTGATTATGCATTTTTTAATTTTAAAAGTAAGATCAAATTTAAAAAAAATATGGGACCATGCACCAGAAATTATTTTTATAATTTTTTTTTGGTACCTCCGTGTGAACCCCACACCTTGGTCATTGTGAATGAAATAATCTCAGGTGCAAAAGGTCGTTTAAGTGCCAGTTAAGTCTCAAACAGAACTTAGGATGTATGAACCTGTGTTGCAGAGGGCTGAATTTCAATCCAAACACCAAAACTGTCCTTTCCAGCAAATTGCACAGTGCCTGTATTTTCCAGAAATACTTTAATAGGGGCTTGTGCTTCAGAGAGACATAATCCCACCTCACTGGTCTTGGTGAACCCAGCCTAGTGATCATGGACCTGCCACTCTGGAGTAACTTGTGTCTCCTAAATTGTCTTGAGAGTGTAGTCTGCACATTATTGTGGTACGAGGACTATAAATGCCTCTTTTTAAAAAGATACATAGGGAGGGAGGGTGCCTTTGCATCTATATTTATAACCTGGCATCTCTCATTCACATTTACTTTGCTGGTGGCCCAAATGCTACCTATAAATCCAACTTGCCCTCACCACAGGTGATGTTGAGACTCCTCCAGGAGTTACCCTAAGCTGTCATGGCTACCTGACATTAGTGATGTGAATGGTAGAACAGGCAGATGGAGTAGATGGATGTGGCCACAGCAGGCCCTAAATACTGAGGATGACACAGCAAGTAAGCACACACTGAATGAGCTCTAAAGCTTTTGATACACACAAGGTTTCCCCATCCTCTTTACAGGATTACCAGCTGAGTCGCCTCAAGAGTCCATGTGGAGGGTCCATGCTGCTGGGCATGACACTTGGCCTCAGCTTTGGGGTTCCTTCTGTAGAGAAGACGTAGTCTTTGTGCCCTCTTCACTAGGCAATTCATGTTGTCTGGGGGCTTTGCTCTTCCTATTCCTGATGTGCTTCACAAGGGAAAGGCTATACCGAATTCTGGTGCCTACAAACAACTGGATTAATGGAAGGAAAGGATGAAATCATCCTCCTAAATCTTTATCATTTTGGTGCTTGAGTTTCCTAGGAATGTGTGGATTTCAAGCACGTCTGAACAGTTCTGAGGTGTTGTGCGAGAGTGCAGAATATCTCATTAGTCTGTTTTTCGTTTTTCATGGAATCAAGATAATTAAAGGATGATTAGGGATAGAACACCAACCAGGGTGTTGTGTCCAGGGTCTGATCGGCTTGGTATCTGCAGAAGGAAAGTGACTTTGATAAGCTCTTAAGAGTTCTGGGAATGTGGTAGCAAAGTAGCAAAGAAGCGAGAAACAGTTGACATAATTCACAAGATTTTTCAAAACCTTTTTCAAGATCTAGCATAGGGGACAACAGAGGAAGCTGTGTAATCATGTGCTCGGGGTAGAGCATTGCCATGGATAAACAGGGGGTCAAGAGACAGGACAAGGGGGTCAAGAGGAGGGTTAAGGTCTAGTTCCATTATGACAGAAGTTTAACAGCTTGATGCCTCAAGGTTTACTGCCTTGGGGATAAATCATGAACTAGAAGGATTTATGGAGGGCAGAAGACAATATAGATTAGCAATGAGCAGGGGTGGATGTGTGGAATCAAACTACATGAATGAACAGTGCCACATCATTAAGTGAAGCATGTTTCAGGGGAAAATATTAAGCAGCTTGTGTGCCTTACAAGGGTTTAAATCACTTGTGTCAACTCAGGGAAAGGTTTTGAGCATTATGGACAAAGAAGAGCTCAAACTAATGGACTGGAGTTTTGAGGTTGCTTACCTAAAAAAATCCTGTGTGAAAGCCTGTTAGGTATGAATATAAATTGGTATGTTTTGGTGCCTGAATACCTGTGAAAAATCTAGCTAAGACTGCAAGTCTAGTCAGAAGACAAAGCAAATGAGGCAAGGGAATCGGTCAGAAAATAACAGAAGTACTGCCCTGACATCTAAGTCAGTGCTAGGACACCATTTGAAATACCTTGGTCTCAACTGGTCACAGCCACAGGTGCAGAGAAAGGAAATTAAAGCATTAGGGACCAAGGAAAACTCACAAAGAGAGATTAAAGAAAATAGTAATGAAGAGCAAAGGAGAGGAGGGAACTACTCTCTCTCCTCTGATGTTGCAAAAGAGCAAGGACAAATTTTTCACAGTGTGGATAACCAAATGGTGCAACTTAGCCACATAAGATGATATAAGTCCACAAGCTTAGTTGAAAAAAGGGCTGAACATGATTAGCAGAACTCTTGTTATCTGTGTAAATAGCAATAATCTGAATAGATCTGTATGAGAAACAAAACCGTATGAGATACAAAACTGCATCATCTGGGTTTAATGAGAGGTCTATTTGGGGACAAAAAAACCTAGAATGTCATACCAGAACCTGCTCCGAACTGAAACTAATCTTTCCAGAAATCTGTGATATTCTGATTCTTCCTCCCATTAAAAAATCAAACCAAACCAGGAACAAGTTAAACTAGTAAGAGCTTAGACTAAGATGGTTAAGTAGGGATGTCTGTTTATTGGTGTTTCTCTGCAGCATCTGGTGTTGGCCACAATCAAAAACACAATAGTGGGATCCAGTGATCAGTCTAGTATGAGCTGGCAGTTTTCTCCCCAAATGATAGCTCTCTGCAGTCGAAAGACCAGATATTGAAGGTATGAAAGAAATGGGAAGAAAGAAGTTGTGAGGGTGTGTTTGCACAGGAGGAGGAGGAACAGGAACAAGCAGGACAGGAGAGTGGGGGACACTGAAGAATTTGGTGCCATCAGAGTAATGCTCATTTTGCTGAAACCCGGGCAATGGCCCAGGAACGGATTTTCTAGGAAAAGCTTAGGAGGCTACTGAGGATGCTCTGGCTTTTCAGGGCTGCATATGCTTCGTGTGGAGGCACTCGCTGGGCTCATGTAGTTTTTTACTGTGTCACTGACTTCCTTTGGGCTGCACAAGCTGAAAGTCAGGCCCCCGCAGACTAACCTTATGGAAACTTTGCTTAGTAACCGTCTGGCCTGTTCACGAACTTGATGGGATCTCTGGGATAAACTCCTCTGGTTGGCTGCTTGTACATTCCCTAGCACCTTTGGTATCACTGTTGTCACAGGATTTTTCTTCTTTATTTTGAAAATAAACACCTACTCAGAGCTTGCATATATCTTTGCAAACATATTTCTTGCTTTTCTTCCTGCAGGTTGGCTACACTATCCTCTACTCCTCTCATAGCACCTCTGTACCATGGAACAGGAGGGGCCATGTTTTTGCTAAATATTTCTATAGCACAGCTGTAATTACAATTTGGTGTGCTATGATCTGCTGTAATAGCCAACTCAGAATGAGATGGCTACTAAAATATAGGATCGTGCACTAGACTTAATGCTTCAGCTCTGCAAAAATACTTATTTCAGCCAGCCACTTTGGAAAATGAGTGTTCCTTCATGACAGAGAAAAAGCTGCATTAAAAGACTGTTTCAGACTCAGCATCAGGAGAGGAGAGAACTTTTAAAGGGAATGGCTATTATCATCACTTTTAATTTCTAAGTTAATATCCAATTTTCCCACCACTGCCAAAGGAAACAATATCAAGGAGAAACCCACAAGGAGTCTGTAGCTGTGTAATTAGAGCGATGTATTTTGCCTTTTTGATTTATAGACCCCTGTAAATTGTTCAGTGGAGGAATGGCCCTGGTAAGAAGGGTAACGACTGTGGCTTATCCAACCCAGAAGGTATCGACTGATGAAGTTTGTTTTTCTCAGCCAACATTTCAGAGCCCTTAGAAGTCTTCTATAGATACCTGTGATATCAGCAGGGTCACTTCCACTGCTGCTTAACTCTGTACATCCCAAGAAAGTCACTGATACTTATGAGTGTATTTTCTAATGGACTTGGACCAAAATCCTTTAGATTTTTACCATCTTTTTTTCAAGAAAAAACCAAACACTCAGCCCTCAAAGTTACTGCAGAGTATTAGACAGATTTTGTGTTTGCTTCAAATCCCTTAATGTTGGAGTGAGTTACAGAGCGCTTACCTTGGTACGGAGCAGGGCACCTGTCTCAGCACGATTCTTTTCAATGTCTCTCTCCCAATGGATTCTGATTTTTTCCAGTATGTCATCCAGGCCACTTCCCAGGGGAACATCAAGTTCTTCCAGCTGAGATCCAGCAAGCTGCTTGTATAACATCTTCACATCCTTGAACAAAAATAACAGACATAAAAGAAGGTGAACTGGACAATTGAATGGTAGCTTTGGAGGGGCTCGAGGAAGAGCTCTTTTGGTTCCACAAACAGAGGGAGTAATTAAATTTGGTCTCTACATGAATGATTTAGTGCCCTGGAGAGTTTCTTCTTCAGATGTGGATTTGCTTTGCTTCTGCATGAGGAATCTTGCTGGAGTTCCCCTTGGTGGAAGGAGACTGAAGCCCTGCACCAGGGCACTGCCTGGAGCAGCCCTCTCACAGTGGCAAGTTTCTCCAGCAGCCAGAGCTTGACATACACACATGCTGCACACCCAGGACCGCAACTATATTGCACTATGCAATAGCATACACATGCCTCTACTGGGAGATACAACAAGTTGTGCAAAACAGCAGGAGCTCTACAGCCTTGCAGCTTGTGTGAGCCACGTGTGCTTTTATGCATGTGCATGTTAGATGAAGAGCACTCTCCTTCTCTGTGACAGCATTCTGTTCTTTCTTTACCTATAAGTGCTCCAAAAACACGTAAGCAGGAGAGAATTAGTGTGTCTAGAACTGCATGCTTAAAGGTAGCACATCAGTTGTACACGCTGTTCAGGAACACAAGAATCAATGAGATTTGCACATGTATGTATCTGAACTGTCTGGCACCACAATGCTTTCACATCAATCAGTTTATATGTGCTATTGACACAAGCAAAAAAAAGTGGTGTAAAAGCATTTGGGAATTGTATTTGTAGGCAGTGGCCCCTGACAGTGACAGTACTGGAAAAAAAGGATGGGCAAGTATATGTGGATTATGAACCTGCATGAATGAAAGCCTCAAAATGTGCCCACTCCAAGTACACAAAAGCTTCAAAAGGACTTGACATGGATTTCCTAGTAGGACACTGGAGGAAAGAAAGGTTTGAATTAGTTCAGGAAAGTCCTTGGGACTTTATTGTGCCAGAGCTCATCTGGAGTAATTGCAATAGTTGCTTCCAGCCTTTATTCTGTGACTTCTCTTGAGCAGCTTCCCCTGGTGCCGCTGCCATGGGAAAACCAGCTCTGTGCTGGGGTCATTCTGCAAATGCTCAGATACTCCCAACGGGTGACGAAAGGAGCATCCTTCCACTTGCAAGGGCTCCGCGCTGGCTAAATGCAGAGTGAGAGGAGCCGTTGGAAAGCTGTTATTCTCGTTATGCCATATATATGGGCAGAAAACAACATCAGTCCAAATTTTCTGGTTTCACAGCAATCATTGCAATACACAGAGGTTTAAAGGGGATCTTGTGTATTTCTATCAATTTTCTGTTTTCCCTCTTATCTAAAACTTCCATCTTTCTCATGCCGTGCAGTGGTGCTGAAGCCACAGATTATTTTCTGCAAAGTGCCAGCCGTGGGATTAGACTCATGAGAGTAGGCAGGGGATGAAGCAACCTCATCTTTGCAACCTGTCTCCATATGCCTGCCAATGTTGCTGAAATCTTGTGGTTGGAGAAATAACCTGTAAGAAATGTAAGGTAGGATAGTGCCTCGCTTCCGTGAGCCATCTCAATTCAAGCTCTCGTTTGCTTTTGAGGCATGAGCCCAATTGCTTGCTGTCCCATATGTGGGATTAGTAGTAGCTCCATATTCGAGCCCCCATCAGTAAAGATGCTGATTTGGGTCCAGTCCTGAAACCCCTGCTGAAGGGAATAAACCACCTTCATGCAGATACTGCTGGTGAATGTAATGAGTAAGTGGGAAAGTGTTGCAAAATTGGGTAATAATGGGCTTCCCTTCCAGCTGCCTGTCCCTGTGACTTGCTTCAGTGGTGCATTGCTCAGGAGAGACTCGGTTTCAGGAACCGAGCAGCTTGCTAAACCAAGCAGGAATTTTTCAGAAGAGCCCAGTTAACGCTCAGTGTTAGTGCAGCAGGACCAGAGCTTGTTCCCTGCACAGGCATTCTCTCTTCACATCTCTGGCTGAGAATCAGACCTCACTGTTGAGATATCCTCATATGTGACCGTGCAACTCCATGACCATCATGTGGTGTCTAGCAAGAAATGAAGTGATGACATATCTTCCATGTCATATTTATTAGATGAGAAAGAGTTAAAACTTAAATGTAAGTAATTTGATCATGCCTCAGAGGTTAGTGATTTAAGTTAACAGAGAAGAGAGAAATAGGAGCAGGTTTCAGGAGAATCCCCCCAACCAGATATGGCAGGCGGAACTTTTTAGTGCTTGCTTTGCGCTAGATGTATGATACCAACTGGATGAAACAGGAACACATTGGTTTTGCAGTGTCCTGAGTCTGGACTTACTTCTTCGTGGTTCTTTGACAGCAAATTTAGTTCTTCTTTCATGCTCTCTATCTGACTCTCCAGATCCATTTTAGTTAAATTAGCATCATCAATCACTTTATATAGGGAATTAATTTCATCTTCCACTGCCTTTCTGAATGGCTGCTCATTTTCATACCTGCAAAGAAAAAAAAAAAACACCAAACCTTAATACAGCACAGCTGAGCAAGATCATTTTCATACCTGCAAAGAAAAAAAAAACACCAAACCTTAATACGGCACAGCTCAGCAAGAAAAAATGCCTTTTTTTTTTTAAATGACACCATTTGTGCTAATTATCTCATGTGTCCCAGACAGAGGTACAGAACACAGAAGATATACTTTGCTCTCACCTTGTCTCACTATACTCGAATTTAACCGGTTGAAGTACCCTGTCATTAATTCAGTGTAATAAAACAGGCCAAGTTAGCAGTCTGCGCTACGGTGGTTATCAGCCTGATAGGATTCCTGAATAAGCACGGAGAGGCACGTGGTCTCTTGCTAGATCTGGTATTTATATACAGTATGACTATGGGTGGCTTTTTCTCTGTTTGCTTGGCTGTAAAATGAGAATAACTGCTCATTCATCTACATAAGAACTTTTCAGAGCCATGGTTAAAGAAAACACGCGTGCATCAAGCATTACTTTTACTAATGAACATGCTGATGGAAGTCTGGTCTACGTTCCAGGGTCCCAGCCCATCCTTAAGACCAAATCTTCGTGGTATCAAAATAAATAGGAAATTTGAGCAGCTGGTTTGTCAACTAGAATTGCTGTTAAAGCAAATGGCTAGTTTCTAAACTGTGGTTGCAATGGCAGGGAAAATTATGGCAGGCAGTTGCTATTGTACAGCGCTGCTTGCTGCATTGCTTTTGTCTGTACCTTTTCATTTTAGGCTTTTCACTGAAAATGTGGCTGGGTTGCATGGCGAATCTCCTGGGAGGAGAGGTGGGAGGCTTTTGTGTCAAACCCATCCAGCCTGGGGACCTGGTGGCCAGGGAGGTTAGACAGGGGTGTTGGCAGGTTAGACAGGAGCCAGCTTCATAAACAAGACCTGCACTCTGCCCCTTGAGAGCCACCTTCGTTGCTGGGAGTTCAACAGCCTGGGAAAGGGGCAGCTGATCCCAGCGAGAATTAGGAGCTTTTACTCTGCCGTGGATTGATTTGACATTGTTTTTGTTATGTAGACTGCTTGTCCAAGTCAGCTGACATTTTTAAAACATATTTTTTAAAACTGAACTAAAATATGAGTGTGGCTTGCTGGATGTAAAGCCACAAAATGAGTTGAATATTCAACTTAAAAGAACGAGCCCGTTCTATTCACTAAGTATTACTTCCCTATAGAGTCAGTGCTTGCCAAGACAAAGTTTCAAAGGAAGTGGCCAGGTAGGTGCCACCACAAGACTACCTGTCTTTAAAATCTTCAGCACAGGCTTGAATGTTCTCAGTGTGCAGCATAAGTCGAGCATTTTCAAGGACTGCTTCGCCCACCTAGAAGAAAGAGACAACAGAGCTCAAGCAATGAAGAGCTTCAGCACATTAGCTACATGCACTGTACATGTACCTTAAGCAGATGTATAGCTTTGATTCCAAAAATAATCCTTTAGCCTAGGGCTGTTCAAGTGACTCATTCCAGATAATTTAATCAATTGATTTTTTACGTATACATTCACAAATTCTCTGTAAATAGGCTGCAATTTGTCATCAAACTGTTCATTGCTCCTAAGCATTCATCTTCTTGTGGAAACACATTTATTCTGATTGTCGGCTGGTTGCAAGGGGTAAAACTCATTACTGTGCGCCAGGTACGTTCATCATTTAAGTCCCACGTATATTTTCTAGATACAGTTTAAGCAGCACTTACGCAGTTCCTACTCTACTTCCCATATCAGCAGTCCTCTTCAGGATTGTCCTCTTCAATGAGCCAAGGAATACTTGTTGCTCATGCCGCCTGCAAGCAGTCCTCAGCTCCCAGAGCATCGTTTTTCTTCTCTGGTGGGATTGTGTAAGCTTTTGCGATAGATATGAGACTTGAGGAGCAGGCAGTCTTCAAAGATTATTACACCGAATGTGAAATACTTTGGAAAGATTGGGCAAATAAGACTTGGTATCATTGCTGTGGCTCTGGGTGGTATCTTTCATACCCAGGAGGTACTTGAGGGGTAAGCAAGCCTGAAAGGGTTATGACATAGCAGCCTGTTGTGATTCAAGAGGGTTATATAAAATGATAAAAAGGTAAAAAAGACCACTGCCTGCCCTGGAGTCGCACGTGCACTGAGCTATGGAGGGGACCGAAGACATGCTGAATTTGGTACCAGGTTTAGAGCGATCATCTCTGCAAATAACTGTCTGAGGGCTCCAGCCGCCCCGTGGGACATGCCATCACTCTGGAGGAGCTAAACTGAATATCTCTGTGGTCTTTTTCAGGAGATACGCATGGAGATTTGCAGTTGAAACTAAACCACCACATGAATAAGAGCAGCTTTTCAAGCGGGCCAGGAAAGTTCTTGAAGCAGCAGTCTTTCTTTAGATAATTAAGTCTGCAACTAAATGAGATTGCAAATCCCCTGAAGCATTCTGCTCCCCTGAGGTGAAGCAGGCCATGCAATGTGGAGACATCAAGGCTGCGTCCAGACAAGTTATCTCAAGTATCGCAAGTGAGATCGTTGCTTAGTATGGTCCTACCTGCTCTTTGGCTTGCTGCTTGGTGGTGGGGTGGAGGTGGACATGCAAGGCTGAAGCATTTCTATGTGGTAATTAACTCTCATCCTCATGAAAAGTGGTTTACTGCTCTAAATGTCTTACAAATGCTTGGGCAAACAAATATGAAATACATGAAGGCATCTGATAAGGAGACATCTGGAGGAATAACCTATTCCTCACATTGAGAGGTCCATAATGGATCATAAAATTAAAGGCACTCTGTATTTTTTAAATCTGAGGAGGCACAAGAGTTAAAACAAGTGGTTTGCTTCCTTTTCACTTGCTGTTAGGAACAAAAAGAGAAGGTGGCTGTGGCTGGAAGCCTGGGGCTGGAGCTCTGTTCCTGACAGCTCCAGCTCGGTTGGGCTTCCAAAGGAAACAGAGCTCATGCCATTGCATGGGTGGCCCATTTTTCTTTAATAACTGTGGGATTTCTTGGCCAATTCCAACTGGTATGATAGAGGGATAGGCCATCTCAGGGACACGCAGTTCCAACACGTTTCATGAAAATAGCATCTAGACAGAGGAGAGGAGTCCCGTGAATACCGCCACTGGGCAAAAAAGCCCCAGTTTAGGCGTGAGAAAATTAGAGAGCGCAGCGAACACGCAGGAGTTAGAGATGTTACGAAAGCCACAGGTGTGGGCAAAGAGATGGTGTCTCACGGCACAACCAGCCAGCCCCGCCGTGCAGCACACAGGTACAGAAGACCTTTATGTGCTCTCTTGCACACAGAACTGGCTCTTCTTCATTGTTCAACCCCTTGTTTCCTTCTCCCTGCTTCTTTGCAACCCTGCTTTACCAGCACTGGCCTAACTCCCCAGCCCTCGGGTCGTCCCTTCTGCGGCATTTCAGAGCGGCTGGGCAGAGCTGGGACTTTGGGGCCACGCCGCTGTGCCATCCTCAGGTCCCCTTGCAGGACCCGAGTTTCTCCTGAAAGGTGGAGAAAAGACATTTAGTTTTTACATGGCAGCAGCATGGAGGTAGAGGCAGTTCTTTCATCCAAGCTCTGAATTTTTTTTCCTCCTAATGTTTAGAAAATTTACTCTTGGCCTCATTGGAATCTTATTTTTTTCCATTTTTTTCCTTTTTTTTCTTTTTTTTTCTTTTCTTTTACTTTTTTCCTTTTTCTTTCTTTTCTTTTCCTTTTTTTCCTTTTTCTTTTTTCTTTTTTTACAGAAATTACTGCATTTTGTCTTCCTGCCAACGTGTACGTCTGGATTGTCAGAGAAGCTTTTATTTTTTTTCCTGACTCACATCGGGGAGCAGAAACGCTGCCCCGTGATTTGCCCTGCCCTGTCAAAACAAGCCCATTTGCCTCCGGCAGTGAGCCCCCACGGTTACAATAGCTGACCTAAAGTCTGATGAAAATGAATGTCTTTGAGGGAACTGGGAACATCCCACGAGCAAAGCTAACATTAAATCCTGTGAGCCACACAGTGCCACTCAGAGGTATGTTAATGGCTAAGTTTAGAGGCTGAATCCTGTGTAAAATGGCTCTTGGGCTGCAACGAAAGCAGAAGCAGGGAATAGCGGTGATTTGCTGCTGCCTGGATTTCTGCCTCTATATGGAGACAAAGTGTTTTTTAAAAGTTCTTTTCAGTAGTAATCTTGTGGTTTTATTGAGACATTTGAGGTGACTTTTACCTGCCCCACAGTGGATGTCTTTACCAGAACCCTGGTATCATACTCCTGAGGCCTCGGTCAATACCTGACTCCCCTCTTCATAGACCAGCGGCTAATGCCAAATGATCAGTGAGAAAGTGCAGGGCTTTCCGAAACTGCAGACAAACCTGAACTGTGCCGTCTAAGTAAAAATGGTATAAAGAAGTCTAATGTTTGGAAGGCTTCAGGGATGAGTGTTGTAGTGGGAGCCAGCAGGCATTAGCCTTTCAGCCTTCCTGGAAATCAGCTGTGCACGCTTTAAATTTGACAGTGAACCTGAAGGATAAATAATTACATGGTAGTTTCTATGTAGAAACCGAAAAATTCTCCCTGGTTTGCGTGAGCTGTGAAAGCCCTTTCCTAGGCTTCAGAAGAAGAGATGTAAGACTTCCATCTAGTGGCTCTTTTGTTTGATTTAATTCTCCTAATAATCGACAGCTGGATGCAAACACGCAGCATTAGTGAGACGGATTCGTAGCCACTTTGCTGACACACGTACTAAAACGCATGATGCAGCAGTTTAGGAAAGACCCTTCTTTGTGCCCATTGGAAATGAGAGGGCTTGCAACGCTGCAAGCACTCAGACGTTGCCTCCTCCGCTTGTGAAGCAGAAGGCAACGCTGTCCTGCCTCGCAGGGCTTCTGGGAGGCTTAATTCACTAATGCTCCTGTGGCACTTAAACTGCCAAGATGGGAACTGTTATAAAAATGCAAACGTTATTACTAATAATAGCTCCTTTAAGTCACATATTGTCTTTCAACACTTGCATCTGTGATGCACATACACCTTTTGAGCATGATTTTTTTTCAGCTCTTGAATTAACACTGAATATTTGTGGTATAAAACATCTTAACTAGAAAGCAGCAACAATTTGCTTTGATTTCACTGTGATTTTATGGACATGAAAATGCGATTTTAATTTTTAGCAAAAAAATAGTATCAAAGTCTGCATCAACATACTGGCCCATTTACCGGGTTACGACTGGCAACAAGGAAAACCAGCTGCTTCAAGGGAGTTTGTAGACTCCAGCCTTGATGAAGGGTGATGTGGTACAGACACTTACAGGGAGAACTTATCCCTGGCAACTTTTGATTTTTAAGAGAGATCTGACCAAGTTTGGAATTGCAAGATTTACTATGCCTTTCAAATTCTTAGCTGTGCTTTATCAAAAGCTTTGTATACTTTTGCTATTCTTACAAATGCCTAATCCCTTTCTGAATGCTGCTGAATTCGTGGCCTCAGGTGTGGCCTGTGATAATGAATCTCATGGTTTAATTATTCATGTAATGGAAAATTATCTGGCTTTTAAGTTCACTTCAGTTAAAGCAAATGATGCCTCCCTGGAGAAAGATCAGAAGATGCTGGTCTAGTCTTTCCTTCTGCACACAGAAAGAAATGGTTGATACCAGCCCATTGCCTCCAACACATTGTAATTCACAGCTAAATCAGGCTAAAATCCTGCAACCCAGTGCCTGCTGCTCAGATGCCAAGCAGTAAACTCGTAACGCTTTTGGTCATGCTTTCCACGTTGAACCCTTCTCAGAGTCTGAAGGATGAAAACCCAAAGGCAGCAAGAGTGGCATTTGTTGCATCGCCTTGGGAAAAGTAATACCTGGAGAGA